ACAAACAAGTGGTGCATCAAACACAACACAAACAATTATCAGAATATGTTACTCATAGTTTGAGCTCCCATAATTCCACTCAATCCCAGGCTGCAGTCCTGTTTCTGCTGTTAGTGGGCGTATGGTTGTTATAATGTCATAAAAATATCTTATGATATTTATGATATAAAAATATCAGTTCAGGTGGGTAGCTGCGTCAGCATGCGTAGGCTGCAAAGGAACAAGTAATAGGTTTATTCCATGCTGAAAAGAAACAAAACACCTGACACCTGACACCTGACACCTGAAGAAGGCTCCATGGCCAAAATGTTGTGTTTCCTTTCTTCTCTTTTCAGCATGGAATAAACCTATTACTTGTTCCTTTGCTACCTCTTTAGTGGCCTAGTACAAGCCATTTTAAAGATTGCTGCTATGCTATAATTATAATAATCTTAAACTTATACAGCTCTTCTCTGTTAACTCCACTCACAGTGCTTTACCACCAACAACAATGTGCAGCACCCAAATGGATGATGTGACGGCAGCCAAAGTGTTCCTGTATGCTCACTAAACATCAGCTCTCAGTGGGGAGGAGAACAGAGTAATAAAGCAAATTCAAAGACATGTATTATTAGGAGGCCATGATTGGTAAAGTCCAGGGGGAAATTTGGCCAGAAAAGAAACTCTAGGATTTCTTTTATGAGAATCAGGACATCAGTGTTGCATCTCCTCCAAAGCACGTTTTTTTACAGTATAGTGTCCCTGTTGCTACACTGGGGTGTTAGGCCTCACACAGACCACAGAATGAGGACTCCCTACTGGTTCCACTAACAACTATTCCAGCAGCAACCTTAGCTTTCCTTGGAGGTCTCCCATCCAGGTATTGACCAGGCTCACACCTGCTAGACATCAGGGGGTTACCAGTAGTGAATTGAAGGGTGATATAGCAGCTGGTGTTACACTCTCACTTTGGGTGCAAGGGTATCAATAATCCGTATTACCATAAATAGCTCAGGGAGCTGTATATTCATGTCCTATTTCTCATTCTAGGATTTCTGGTTGTTGAATGCTTAGTTGTGCACATTCTTGAGAAGGAGGGGGAGTCCTCTGACAGAATGTGTTCCCACTTTAAAAGATGAAAGAGAATTCAATGCTCAAAGCAATTCTTAATGCAAGAATTCTTAATGTTATTGCTATTCATAAACATAAACAAACACTTGGAAAAAAAATGTTGCATTTGAGAACATGATTTAAAATTTCAGTGGCCTCTGGCTCCCTCTGCAGGCAGATGAATAGTCAGTGAAAATGTATGAGAATACAGTCTCAAATTAAGAATAAGTTAGTTTACAATTACAGAGCCTCTTTTTTATTGAGTCAAACATATTTACCTTCCCCTATATTCCAATTGCATTCTATTAAACTCCAACATTTTATTTTGTAGAGCAAGGAGGCAAAGAAGCATGGAGGTTACCAGTGCCCTGGGCTTGATTCCTACCTGGGAGATTAATGTTTAATGTGGTGAGTTCTGAGTTCTTCTCAGGTGTTTTTCTTAGTCTATTTACTTCCACCAACCAAAGAGGGATTTTTTTTGTCCCTTAACATGTACGTAACAGGTCAGGTACTGTAGGTCATGGAAATAAAGTAAGGTGTTAAGTTATATAGTTGGTCCAGATTCTATATTCTATATTAATTCTATATGTTAATTCATTTTATAACTATTACAAGTCTCCCAATAATATAATACATATGACTAATGGAGTTAATGTGAAGAATCAGTAGGAAATAGAAAAGAGAAGATCAAGGATGAGGAACACGGAGAGGAGGCCTTCTATGCACAAAGTATGAAAGAGTTGAACAAATACTTGGCTTTGGGAGCTAGAATCAGAGCTAGAGACTCAGGCGAATAATGGAATGAACTGGAAAATTGATCAAATTTAGTGGTGGACCACAAGAACCTGTTTTAGGACAGCTGCACTTTATTTAGATTCTAGATTCTGTCATAGTGAATACAATTCTTAAATTGGTTGTTGATATGAAAACAAGGGGTTGAAGACATCTGGACAGCAGCAAAGCATATGCAAATAGTCTGCTTACAACTTATTCAGGGCTGGACAGACGCCTGCAATAAAACTGAAATTTTACAATTTGCAGCTATGAAGCTATCACACTATGCTAGAAACATGAGGTGGGTGACTGTAAAGATACAACCCCTTGAAAAGCATTTAAGCATTTAGGAAGACTATACAGCTTAATATCTCCTGACATTAGTACTTGGTAAGAAAAGTTAAAAAGAGAGAGTAAGTTAAAAGAAATAATTCAGATGCATTTGTCCACTGATTCCATATTCTTTTTATTAATACATTTTATTTTGGTAACAAAAAAGCAAAAGTGTTTTTATAGCAATTGTTATTGTAATGTATAGTGTTGCTTCCCGGTGTAAAGCATATTTCCTCTGTATAATTCTAATCCCAACATATGTGATTAGTTATTAGTTATGTCAAATTTATGTTTTATGTGGCCAAGTGAACCATACTTTGGAAACAAATTTGGGCGAAGAACAAACCATGGACGTGGTAATCCAAGCCGTATGTGTTTCTTGGCGATTTAATTGTTTATGCTTTTTGTTGATAGCACACACAATGCACACAAGCCCTGAAACTGATAAAAAATAAAAGGTAGAAAGATATACAATTTGGCTCTGTAAGTCCACGCTGTTTCTTCCCAGTCTATTCAAATGTAAAACATTTTAAAGAACCATTTGGCTAAGATGTTTGGCTTGTACTGTTCTTTCCACTTCTTCGGTGTGACAGCTAAGAGATAGGCAGATGTTTTGTAAGCAGGTGGAATACTGCATTACTCCCAGGCAGTCCCTCATTCTGGAAAACCCTGCTGCCAATTGGAGTTTGTTAGTCATAGAATAAACTCCTGTCTTTCTGTCTTCAGTGTACCCTCTAAGCGACTGACATAATAACTGAAGTCTAATAATCCATTATAGTAATGTATTTTGAAATACAGTTAAATAACTTTATATTACTTTTTGTGGAGTCATTCTTTTAAGAGATCAAGGGCATACAGTACATTCTAATTAGAAAACGACCACAGAACCTTGCATCACATAAGCATACGATATGATTAGATTACAAAGAAAGTAATCTAAAAATCACCAGCTCCTTCAGGGCTATGGGTTTGAATCCTGCTAATCTTTTAGGGGTGACAAAACAGAACCAATTAGCTGTGAATCATAAAGTCTGTTTTCTATTACATGTAAGGTTATGGAAAGTGCTGCTTTTAATTACAGAAACTTGTTTGTAAGAAAGAAAAAATATGGAAACAATTATTAGAACTAATTTAGAGGATCATCTATATGGAAATCAAATACTAAGAAAATGGTCATATGGATTGAGAAAAGACAGGTCTTATGGAGACCTGAGGTGAACAATCAACAACACAAATGGATACACATAGAGCATAGTATAGTATATGGATTTTAAGAAGGCATTTCATAAAGTTCCTAAAAAAAATGATATGATTACAAGGGGTAGGCATTCAGGGAAATGTGTTTGCATTGAGTACTGGTTAGTTAATAGAAAACAGAGTACAGATAAGGGATGTGTATTAGGACCATTGCTCTGTCCATTTTACAGTATGTTATTGAAATCTTGATTATCTAAATTCTGGTAGATTTAGTAAGCTAGTCAATGATAACAAATTGGGAGGACTGTCACATCTTTTACATCTTCTAGATTTTAGATGTGGGTAAGCAAATACATAGGCACACAAAATGTTAGGATACATGCATAGGATATAAGCATAGATTTTAAATCAAAGGATGTTATGTGAAAATAATATAATGATAGTACAATGCACTATTAAGGCCTCATTTAGAACAGTGTGTAGAATTTTGGTCACTATATGACAAAAAGATATTGTCATAGAATCAGTCCAGAGGAGAGAAACCAGAGGTTTTCCTGGGCTCAAAGGAATGTCCTACACTGAAGATGACTGAAGGAACTGAACTTTTTTTGTCTTGAACAGGGGAAAATGCCTGAGAGTGCTCAGACATTTAAGGAACATTGACAAAGTCAACCCTGCTGATTTATTTATATTGAACCATGAAAAAACAAAGCAGAGGACACAAGTGGAAATGCATTTACAATGCAGAATAAGTGTCTTTCCTTTATCCAAAGAGTTGTGGAAGTATGGAACAAGCTAGCTAGCCATCTTCGTGAAGCCAATACTCTAGCTTCTTTCTAAACACAGCTAGATAAGATGTTTGGATCATTTGACTGCTAAGCCTCAGATGGGTTAAATGGCAGCATGGCCTCCTCTCATTTGTAACTGTTCTTATTCTTTATGTAAAATACTGTAACTGTGTATGTCCTCTGATACCCTTCCAAGGATGTTTATTGCACATAGACATATATTTAAACCTTCCCAAGTGTTTTGAGTATGTTGATAATGTAGCAAAAAAAATCCTTACAGTGATCTGGCTCCTATCCCTGGCTGATAGTCTTTCCCTCAAGTTTTATAGTAGTATCACAGTTGGGTAGTTAGATTCCAGTGAGCTTTTCCACTCTTCAGCTAGGGAACAATGTGCCAGGAATCAGGGCTCGATACCCATTAGAGGTGTTTTCTCTCCAGAGCACCTAAACCCTAACTGGCTAAAGCACAGAATTAAAAAAAAAACATTAGTAGAATAGCATGATTTGTTCACATCAGCTTTTAAATTAATATAAAGTTGCCTGTTTTGAAACATGGACATCATTTGAAACACATGCAAACTTATCATTTATATATCATTTCTAATGTATATTTTCATTTTACGTGCATATAAGTATTCTTCATGTTTGGGAATGAAAGATATATTTGGTGTGGTAATGTTGGTGCAGAAGGAGGTTGAGTGATTTGTAAACATTTCTTCTAGAAATCGTGCCGCACCAGTGAAGTCTGCTACAGACGGCAAAAACGGTCTCCTTGGGAAAAAACCTGCTGACCCAGTGCACAGTTGTTTTGTGTTAAGAAGTTTGGCTTAGGGGCGGAGGAGAGTGGGAGTTTGAAATTGTTGCGCTGGGAAATTTATATTACAACACAAGATGAAGAAGAACAGAAGAGCAGAATTCCAGCTCCTCTACAACATATGAATACAGATGGTCCCCACGACTGAGAGGAAACATGGTTTCAGCTGGGAATCTCAACGCCTCTTTACAAAAAAGAGAGGAGACGTAAAGTTTTTCACAAGCACATCTGGCAACAGATGCAGACTTCACTGATTTCAACAATGCTGTTTATTTTTTCTCTTAAATATATAAAGGTAAGGATTTTGTTTTGTCTTATGGCCTAAACTTTTAATAACTTTATTTCAGAGATATATTTTAGATTAACCATATTTAATGCTACTATTTGATTTACTTCTGAAATTCTTCAAAAGTTCCAATAAGTCTTTCTTTAAACAAGCCATGTTTACTTTCTAAAAAAGAAAAAAAAATCATAAATTTCAAAATGAAGTAATCCAACTACACCAATTGTTACCCATTCTATGTTAAATTACCTACAATTGCTTAATTATTTCCAGACTGTGTTGTTCTCTTTATTTGTTTTTGGTGGTCTTTCCTTTTAGGCTGATATTCAAAGGATAATCAGGGCCTGAGATAAATTTGGTTTGTACATAAATAAAATGCATGTTATGGTGTAATAATATGTGCAATTATTAAATGAAAATTTTCATGCAAACCTATGAAATGAGCCAAATTACGATATCAGTGCCTTCAACCTCTAAAGATTGGATTTTAAACAAAACAGGCTGCCAATAGCATATATGTATATTGAATTATTTGTATGTTCAAACTGTTTTGAGGTTTTGGTATACTGTAAGTCTAATTTCTGGTGTAAGGACTGGATGGGCAAACACATCATATCAAGCTCTTTGAGTTCTTTCACATGGAGCTGTTTTGTGTCGTCTGAAGAGCAGAGGGTTTATGCCAGGAGAAGCTGATCTTAAAACTTCAGTTCCATCTTTTTGCAGGCCTTTGAACCTTACAATAAATTAATTACTGTGCTCGTCCCTATCTAACCCAGGTGCTGATGATCACTGCAACAAGCAGCAAAAACATACAATGAAATTATACACAAGTTAACTATCCCTGGTTCAGTATTTGCAATACTGTCAGGAAAGGCTATTTCTGCTTTATCTACTGTATGGATACAGGAAAACTGCATAAATCTATCTGGCCATTGAATGACAAAAATGTCCTAAAAATGTGCATCTGTTAGATTATTTATTGGTCTGTTTTACACACTGAGAATCCTATAGAGTTTTACCGGATTAAATGGAGGATTGCTACATTTTATTGCCAACACTGCAATTTCACAGGGGTCTGCCCAACATCTGCAGAGCTTCTCTGATTGTGCGTCACCACAGGAATCCCAATCACAGTCAGCTAATGACATAGTCTAGGCTTACAATGGCAACGTGAAGATTGGATGTCTGGACCTGTGGTCTGAATTTACTAATTGAGCTACTCAGGACTCCAGTAATCAAACAGTTTGAAGAAGAAAAAGGAATAGTGAAAGATATTAGTCAAATACATTTAATATGAACAATTTATTAAGGAAAAAATAATTGAGTGTTTTTTAATCAATACAAAGCTGAACAAAAGAAATGTTAATTTCTGAAATCTCTTTTTAATTAGCAGGTTTGCTTTTATTTATTTTTTCTTATTTTGAAATTACTCTGTCAAAAGTTACTGTCCCACCACAGCTTTACAAAAAGATGGCATTTGATTTTCAAATTTATATAAATGTCCTAATAATGAGCAGTCCAAAAGAAAAAAACATTGAGATGTCCAAATGTTACAGACAGCTGCAGAAGAACTTGATGTTAATGTGTCTGGGTCCATATTCATAGCAAAATATGACGGAACAGAAAAAATAAAAAGACAAAGGTAAAAAATAGGTAAGCAGCAGGCTGTACTGTACTGAATTCCCTGAGAGTCCCTGTCTGTTCCTGTTCTGTCTAGTGTTATAAAAATCGGATGGATTAACTATATTTTGTATAGTCTATCGTGAAGTCAATAATGTCACACTAAAGGACATGAACTAATTTCACAAATGTGCAACAGTTGTAAAGAATTCTCTTTGTTCCGTGTTTCTCAAAAGCATGAAAGTTGTTAACTTGAACCGCTAGAAATACAGTATATATTATTTTTATTTCATGACATACATATATTTTCAATTAGACAAATAACATGTGATCCATGTCTGTGAGTATTGTCTTCCTAAAGATTGTTGTTTATTTCTCACAAGCTCTGTTGCTATGGAATCTTCTGAAATATTTTTCAGGAAACTGCCCTGACAGATGTTAGAAACACTAAATAAAAAATAGTTCCTGCAGGGCCAAAGTAAATCCTAGCATATTTCTTAAAGACCTTTAATTAATTATTATCCAAAAAGGTATACATAAAAAATAATCTCTCAAATTAGGCAGGCTTGGAGTCATGGTTGTGTATAATTCATTCTTTTTCAACATGTGTGAAACAATTTGGTTAAAATATGTTTTTAATTTGCTGTTATGAGATCACTGGAGACAGGGTAGTTCTCTGACTTTATTTAGATTTAGTGCCCAGGATTTCTTCTGTACTGTTATGTCATCAGAGAAACTCAGCCAGACATCAGGGCGTAAAACTTAAATACGTATTCCTCATTAAACTTGAGTCACCACTCCTTTCTTGTCTTAGAGACTTGGAAATTACATCAGTTTTTTTTCAGCTCCTGCATTGCCTTATTAAAAAAAACTGTAAAATGTGATATGTTAGTTATTCATTAAGAATGTCTTTTTGTCACACTCTACTTCAGTACCCAAAAATTATTTCATCTCCTGCTGGACAAAATTCAGTCTCTCCCTTCCCCCCCAAAAAACAGGATCAATAGTTTGTTGAACCATTCTTTTATTTTATTTTCAAGGGTGTAATTTCTTGTAATTATTGCTTTCTCAATACAAATTCATTAGTTTAATTTTATTATTTTAATTTAGAGTTGCTGTTTTGTCACAATTCAGATGGAGTTCAAAAGGAACATTCAAGAGGTGTGAAAAACCTAATCTTGTCCTGTTTTCCCTTCTCACATATACCACTTGTGTAGCATTCTTGTTTGCAACTTTCATTGTACATGATACTGTTCTGCATTTACTCTCACCAGATAAATACCTTGCTCTGTTGTTTCTTCTTACTTATGGTTGATAGAAATCAAACAGCAGTGGTCCTACTGACTCAGCAAGCCAGTGAATCCCAAACTGGCTTGAAAACCAAGAGAAAACACAATTCTCCCTGCAATCATTATTTTCATGGTGCCCTCCATCTGCCTTTAAAGTCACAGCAGTTTTCTTGTAACTCTTCCATCTTCAGTCCTGGGCCCCGTGTCTCTTCTTTTTCCAAGACAGCCACCCCAATGCATGCACAAGCCGGGAAATTACTTGCTCACTGGAGTTGCCATGCTGTCCTCCTTCTCCCTTGTTTCATTATGAAGATGCCGCAAACCACAGAGCTCCACCATAGCCATGCCCATCCTCTGTCTCATCTCACTGTCTGTTCTCCCTCCCAATTCACTCCTTGGCCCCTTTGTGATTTTTCTCTTCTTACCTTCTCTCTCATCGTCAGGTGTCCCAAAGCCCAAGCAATGACAAGTCTCCCCCACCTCCCTTGCCACACTCATTCGTCCCTAACTGTAAACTGGTCAGTCAGTCTCTGTCTCTCTTTCATTTCCTGGCTTGGACCCTGCCTGTTTTCCAGGCTACCACATACCAGCTAGAAAGGAAGAACACATTTAAATAGAGAGGAGTGCAGCTGTCAGGTATCAGGATTGTAAGGAGTTACAACTGTCTCCACTCAGACAGTGGATTGGCTGAGTACCTTTCCCAGACTGTCCTAGACATCCTATCAGTGCAGTATATAAAAGAAAACACCAAAATGTAGCAACCACACATAATCTTATAAATTATTGTGTTATAAAGGTGTGTGTCATATGAACTGATCTTCAGTTGTACATTTAACAGCTTAGCATACTGACATCTAACATCCATCTACAGGTACATCTGAAATTTGGGAAATAACTTTTCTTGAAGTCCTCAGTATAACAAAAACAATAAAGAATGAGCAGTGAAGCATTTTTATTAACAGTGTTCATTTGATTATGGAGTAAAATATAGAGTACAGTAACACTCTACTCACAGGTAGAACTTGACATTTGATTCGGATAGAGCCTTCATGTGTTTAAAATATTTCCAAAACATTTGTGTATGTAGTAGTGTATATTTATCACTATATTTAACAGATAGTGTAGAAAGTTTTCTTTATTTTCAAAACAAAGGAAGACTTGTAGTGCTTTTTATAGAAAATACCCATATTAGTTCCCATAATAATTATTTTAATGTGACATCTTCTTATATGTACAGTATGTACTGTATACTGATGGAAAAAAGAAATGCAACATTTTCTGGAATGAGAATACTATAGTTATAGCTTATGTACTTTCACAAAAAGTTGTTGATTTGTTTTAAGCCCTCTGACCAGCAAGACAACTTGTGTAGTGAGGCATTGCAACTTGCCAATCACACAAAAGCTCGTTAGATGCACTTTAACCCAACGAGATCCAGGTGGAACAATGCCTGATCAGGTCACCTTTAAAAAGGCCTTAATTCAAAAGCTTAGGTCACGGCAGAAAAAAGGCCACATTTAGTCAGTTTTCTGTGCATTCCAAAATGCCACAAATGTCCCCAGAAGCAAGGGAGAAGGCAATTGGCATATCGCAGGCAGGCATGTAATGTGCCAGCGTTGCCAGACACTATGGAGTAAGTTGCTCCACGGAGACCTGACTGGAGAGAAGGTTTCAGCAGACCAGCAGGACAGATGACTGTCCAAGATCCGGTTGCCCTCACGTGACCACACCAGAACAGGACCAACACATCAGACTGGTCCATCTGAGAAATCGTTTCAGATCTGCCACCCGTACAGCTGCTGAAACTGCCGGCAGACACAATGCCCGCACCAGTGACAGGACAGTGAGGCTCCATACTGCTGGTTTTAGAGCTAGGCAACCTGTCAGAGGCCCTCTGCTCACATGTCCTAGATGTCACACCTGACTCCCTTGGGCCAGACAGAGGATGCGATGGACCCGTAAGCAGTGGCATCAGGTCCTCTTCACTGATAAGACACTCTTTAACCTGTTCCACAAAGACAGGAAGGCCAGAGTGTGAAGGAGGAAGTTTTGCGTTTCTTTTTTCCATCGGTATATAATTTCTTATCTTGAACTAACAAGAACTAATAGTGAACATGAAAACTGTATAAGTGTACATTTGCATCACACACACCATACAGTAGATTCTGTCGTTGGAATTCTGCCTTCAGACTTAGTCTTTCTTCTGTCTCATATCTCTTTGTTGTACAATCCAGCTCATCCCACAGAATGTACAATGAGGATCAGGTTTGGAGATCCTTAGTATATCTCTCACTCTCCCATCTCGCAAGAAAGTCATTGTTACACAAGCAGCACGAGGAAGTGTATTGTCCAGCTGGAATGTTGTCATGTCAGGAGTTTACAGGGAGGGCAGCAAGTCAAGTCCAAGGCCATCAATCACTATGAGTGGAGTTCTGTTGTGACTAAACACTCCCGATCAGACCACTAGGAACTTCGTTCATACTGGCACAATGTCATGACCTGAGGGCTCCCAAATAGTGGTATTTCACTGGTGGATAGAACTTGGCTGTAACATCTTGCCAGGTTAAACATAACAGATTGTAAATCCCCAGACAGCATTTACAGCAGTGGTGTGCTGACATAGACCAGCGTCTAACATGCTGTTGGCACAAAAGCATTGTGCTCTTGATAAGCAGGGCATATGGGTACCTGTCTGTTTTTTTCTTTCTTGATATTCACCAAGTTGTACAGTAAATTCAACATTGCTTTTCATGATTCACTCAAGTCACTGAATAATTTGTTCAAGTGTGACTGTAATGAATGATCAATTGCTCAAAATGATGGCAAAAACATTTAATCTGTATCCAAAATCCATGCTTTTATCAAAAAATAGATTCATTATGTTACATATTTTTGATGCACAGTACATAAAAGAAAACTGACATTTAAAATAACAAAATCAAAAGATCACTTAGCGTGGTTCAAGACCTTAGCATGAACTGTGGACCATGGCTTCCACTTCTAGTTTTGAGCTGTAGTAATTCTTTCCAGTAGTTTAAAGTATGATTCATAATTATTTTTGACAGAATTTCCGTGTTTCCAGTGCTTTTAGGGAAAGATAGAATAACATTCACATTTATACATCCCTTTCCCATGGATGAGTTACATTTTGTGTTATGGGATGCTTATAAGTGCAAAGGTCAGGGAATATTGGCAGAGACAAAACAAGAGAGAATTCATATTTTCCCATGATAAATGAGTTTCCTTTCCTTAATGGGTTTCATTTTGAAAGAAAGAAAATTACAATTCATACGTTTTCTGTTCTCATCTGTAAAGAAATATACTTTACCTTGTATTTTGTAATGTATTCATTAAAACTACAGTTGTTAAAATGTTGCAAGGTGAGGTCAAAGTAACCTACTCTGCTCTATTTTATAACCTCCATCCCAAATGAGTTCTCTGATTTCATGATAAGGCTGGTTGCATTTGTACTGATGCAGTTTTCAAGACTATTATGTTATTACTAAAGTATGCATTCGCTAACAAGCCAGAAATCATGTGCAACTTATTCACATTGTAAGCTTTTACACAAGATTTGGGTTGTCTCGTACAGAGCACATGTGGTTGTTGATCAAAAATCAAGATGCATTGTTGCTCTTTTTTTAACATCAAACATTGAAGACAGTGAAAATATTCACACCTAGAAAAGAAGAAGCAAGATATTACTATTGTACATTGGGAGAGAGAAGTCATAACCCACTGAGAATGCTGAGGAAATATTTTCTTAGTAAAGTCTAACATCTGGCTGCATGTAACAACTTTTGGCAAGAGTAACACACGGTATGTGATTTTAGTCTATCTGTTTCTATTATTTCTTTTGCTTTTGAAAATAATAAAAAGAAAACCATTTAGGGAGTCCAGATCTGACATGGTATGATCCTTGAGGGCTATGTTTATTATTTTAAGTTGAGCTGAAACTTCAAATATCTAGCCGACGGCAAAATTACTGAAACTTTTTATTATTTGTTTAGACAGCAAAAAGGAATGATGATGATTCATAGTGCAAGCTCTTTAGAATTTGAAGTAATAAAACTATAACACTATTGACTATGTCAGGGAAAATTCATCACGATTCTCATTTTATCAGCTCTTATAAGGGGATTCACAATGTTATACAGAGGCAAACCAAAATAAGTATTCCCCAACAGTGTCCACATGTGATGATAAAATTAAATTTCTTTAGTATATGAGACCCTGTGTTAGTTTTTACTGTATATGATTAGCAAGGCCAACACACTAAAGTGTGGAATGTGTTTGTTCCTTTTTGCCTTTTCTGCATATGTTTCTATGAGCCAAACTGTTCATTTCGGTGCAGCAGTGAATAAACATACATTCCAGTTCTTTTTCATATGTAGATTCCATACCAGAGTTGCACTCCTTCTGTATGTACTATTCATTGACCTTCCTGTTTAGCTACAAATGTGTTACGCCTTGGAAAAGTAAACTAATAAAAGCTGGCATTAAATAAGCAAGCATGTTTTTGATAACAAAATTCATTTTCAAAATTTCATTAATCGTTGAAATGATTTATTAGCATTGCTGCCTTCCAGTGCTGTGGCCCTGACTTGTTCTAGATCTAGGGTGCTGTTTGCGTGGAGTTTGTATGTTCTCCCTGTGTTTCTGAGGGTTTCCTCCAGGTACTCTGATTTTCTCCCACGGTACTGGTAGGCTAATTGGCTTCTGGCAGGATTAACCGCCTTGGTGTGAATGTATGTGTATGTGTGATGGACTGGAGTCCTGTCCGGGTCGTATCCTGCCCTGTGCCCATTGCTTGGTGGGATCAGCTCCAGATTCCCTGCGAGCATGTATTGATGGATTAATGGATGAAACTTTTAGAAAATGGTCGGATGGATTTAGTTCATTTTTGCACTAAGAATGTATGTATGGAAAGTTTTGATCCCATTTCAGTTTTGTCTTTGGGTTTCATCAGAAAGCAATCCAATGGCCATGCATTGTCTTTTTCTATCTTTTTAGATTCCAGAATGCTAGTATTGATCGGTATTATCAGTGTCTTTAATTGCATCAGTGGGCAGACACTGGAAAGCAAGTGGAAGGGAAACCCACCTCGGTATATCTGCAGTGTGCCTGGGTTACCGGGACCCCCAGGACATCCAGGGTCCAATGGAGCTGCTGGACCTCATGGACGCATTGGCCTGCCAGGTCGAGATGGCAGAGATGGGCGGAAAGGAGAGAAAGGGGAAAAGGGAGACCCAGGTAGGTGCATGGCAAAACAGTGGCCGTGTCATTTCTTTTGAAGCTCTTGCTGTATTGTGATACTGCATTAAAGGATGTGCTGTTTCTCAGACACCTTTCATATCTCTTAGGATAATGGAGCCATTGGTTATTCGTCGTGTTGTTGTCATCACACTATAGGAATTATAATATTCTATCAGATTAAAGAAAAAATAAATATATAAATTAACAAGGTTTAACAGGGCGGCTGCCATTGTAAGGGGAATGTGTTTGGTTATGGTGTCTAGGAGCCATATAAACGGTTAACTGGGGGAATGGTTAATTAGAAAGATAGGGACAAATGTGTGCAGGTGAGTGTTCTCACCTGTGTGATCCTCCTGTGTGTTACCTCTTGCTACATATATCTTATAAATATGATATCAGCTAATGAGCATCAGCTACACCAGCGAGTTGCAAATGTGTTCACACATTTATCTCAATCCTTCTAATTAAACTTTTAGCCCATTAGCCCTTTACACGGCTCTTTAGAGCAGGTCTTCTTGTAGTTTCTCCTTTGTCTTTCCTCCCTGTCCTTCTGTTTCAGGTCCAGGCCCAGCCTGCCCGCCCCCCCCTACACACATCTATTGTGTCACCTCTGACTGTGTGGTAATTGACAGTTGTCTAGGCCAACAGTGTGTGACTCAGTTTGTACTGATTGTCATCTATTGCATAGCTTGCACTAAAAAAGTAGGAAGACATGGAAAAGGAAGGAGGACAAGGGAAGAAAAAGGGAAAGAAGACACACAAGAGAAAAAAACTGGGAAACCACGGGCTATTTTATACTTAACTAAACATAGCTGCCAAAATACTCTTCTACCCCCACTTCTGTCATCCACGACATTAGTACAATCTGTAGCTAAATTCTCAGCCTTAAAAAGGAATAAATAACATAAAGATGCTCTACATTCCTGGTAACAACATAAAAAAGCAACACTTTAACTTGTTTTGATGAAATATCTTAATCCCTTTCTACAATCAAAACTTCTTATATCTGACAGATGAATACAGTATGTGTTAAGATTTAAATATTGTAGCATTAAAAAATAATATCAGAACTTTGTTTAGAATCTGGTCTAGGTTAGTGTAAAAATGTATCCGAGAATATGCATTTTGCTGTGCTCTTTCTGTACAGTTGTACAGCTGTCATTCCAAAAAGTCAGTTTATCTCAGGAAGAAATGGAATAAATGTATTATTTTGGATTACTCATGCTTATATTGTAAAACAAGATTGATGTGTACAGGTTCAATCAATCTCCTTCTTTACAATCGTCTGCTTGAGTAATGTTTAATCCTACAAAAATGCGTTATGCATAATTGCTCACTAACTCAAAGAAGTACTTTTCTATTCCGACCATCTACTTTGGGAATATATACCATATGCTCTTTTGAATTCTGTTGTAACATGATGAAAGTATTGTGAGTGCAAGGCTAGAAATCTCAGGTTTATTCCCAGAAATAATCTAAGTTTTTGTCATGTTATACTTTATCCAATAAATCCCTTCAGAATTTGAAAAAACTTTTATGTTTCTATTCATATTGTAATGACTCATGACTTCAGTTTGTTGGTATTCAAGTAGTACTGGGTAAAGAGACAAAGTAAAAAAGCTTTTAATTTTGACTTGAAATATACTGAGAATCGTTCAAAGCAAAATAATGGTACTTACTGTATAAAGCAACACATAAGTCTCTTATTACACAGTGACAGTCTCACTCTCTTAAACAATGATTTGGTATATGTACCCCTTAAGTGCAATTCTTTGATAAAGTAGAACAGTTTTTAAGGAGGAGATGTATTGCAACTGTACAAAGTGTCTTAATATCACAGACAATCTGAACAATGACTCTGTTACAGGTCTCAGAGGAAAGGCAGGCCCGGCTGGAAAAATAGGAGGAAGAGGAGACAGGGGGCCTGTGGGGAAAAGAGGTCCTAATGGGACTGGTGGGGAAAAAGGCTTTGTAGGCCCAGCTGGTCCGCCGGGGGAAAAGGGAGATAAGGGCAATCGGGGAATACCCGGGAAGCCTGGCATATGTAAGTGTGGCAGCCTGGTGCCCAAGTCTGCATTTTCCGTTGGCATCACTACCAGTTACCCTGTGGAGCTGACCCCTATTAAATTTAACAAAGTTCTCTTCAATGAGGGTGAGCACTACAACCCAAACACGGGCAAGTTTATATGTGCTTATCCAGGCATTTATTACTTCTCCTATGACATCACGTTGGCCAACAAACACCTGGCAATAGGACTGGTGCAGAACGGTCAGTACAGGATAAAGACCTTTGATGCCAATACAGGAAATCATGATGTGGCTTCTGGATCTACTGTCATGTATCTGAACCCAGAGGATGAAGTCTGGCTGGAGATTTTCTTCACTGATCAGAACGGGCTGTTTTCAGATCCCAGCTGGGCTGACAGCTTGTTCTCTGGATTCTTACTCTATGCAGACACAAATTACCTGGATGCTCTTTCAGAGGATTATGCCTGAAACTTCTGATCTTCTGTCATCTATTTATCATCAAAAGATTTAAAACAGCAATAAGAAAGATAGAACCAGCTGAACCCATTGGAATTGTACGGAAATTGTTTACCAGTGACTTGGTGATCTTTCCTTATACATGTTGATGTAAACCATATGCAGTTGTGTATAATGTACTGTATATACCATAGTATCAGTAGAAATACCTAAATTATAAGTGGCTATTAATATTTTTCAAGACTCTCTTGTTTACCCATAAAACATACTCAATTTTCATTAATTTAATGCAGAGAATGTATGCACTAGGAAAAGGTAACCAACACCCTCTTACAACATTCTGCAGGCACCAATACTTGGATTACAATTTATACAATTGCTCATTTATGATTGTTGAGAGTGAAGCACTCCACAGGACAATGTAATGTTTTGTTTTCCTTGATTTGGAAAGTGGTCAGACAACGAGAAGATTGAACTTGCAGAGTATTACATCTAACATACCTTTACGTGTATGTAATGCATGCCATATTTTGAGATGAGCATTTCACATCCAAAACACTTACAGAGGTGAACTTACAGTACAGTGCTTCTGTTTTTCTTTTGTGCTTTAACCTCTCCTGCTCAAAAGTGATTTCAGATATTCACATCATCTGAAAGGCGCTTGTCAGTACTAATATCCCTGACTTCTACTGCTCCAGCAATGGATTACCATACTTTTCATTACATATGTTGCTCTCTTTTTCATTGTTTTTCTGACACACAAAAACATCACTTTTTCTTACCCTTGGCTTCTACATGCTGATGTTGAAAATAATAGTACAGGAAATTGTCTGCCAGGGGATTGTTTGTAAATGTAAAACATTGTTTTATAGAACATTCTTTCTTGACAAATGGATAGATATGGAAGGCTGTACAGCACATGTTTTGAGTTTCATAACTCAAACTATGTAGTTATTTTTAAAATTGTACTTACATCTTATTTCTTCATAAAAGTAACATTTGGAAGTGAAGAATCTTTTTTTTTAAATAATGACTAATTTCCAGAAGGGAAGGTGGAGCTGGAAGAGCAGACTTTCAAGGATACAAAGGTATTCTGGTATATATAATATAATCTTTGTATTAATGACAAAATCTTAGTTTAAAATGTTAAAATATTATAAATAAAACATAAAATGAAATATATATTAATTCACTTTCAGATCATAATATAATGCTAATATATGATGGCTGAAGTTTATGTTCTGGTGTAGATTTTAACAGCTAACATCTTAACATGGAGAGTCTTGTTCTCTTAATCTTATGTATAACTGATGTATTTTGTTATTCAGTCATATTGATTTTATAAATTGTAAGAGATAAAAAGATGCAATAATGGTCTTATTAAATACTTTTACAGAAACAAAATCAAAAATAACATTAGCAGATGCAGGATTCATTGAGTGTGATTGTATATATTTGTTGACAGAGAATAGCACTGAGAGTCATATGAGACTGGAGCAACATGTGGTATTTTCAGTGCTGAGCAGCATGTGGCATTTTCAGGGTTGAAATTAAATTAATCCTCATGTTTTTAAATTGATTTGGTGTTTTTATTCAAGTAAGGTAAAAATCTATTAGAGAAGGTACAGTGGTTGAAAGTTTTAAACCTTCAAACATTGTTTCAGGTTTTCTCTATACTCCCTCATTTTACTTGTCACATTAAACACAGTGAAAGTCAATGCTGCAGCTCACACTCAGCAGTGAGGTGCTGATGTTTATGAGCAGTCAGTCACTGTGCCATTTTATGCCCTTGTTTTGCTGACATGTCTGCTCCAGCTTTGTGTTCCAGTTTGCAGCCCTGGTTTCCATGGCAGCATTTTGTTGATATGTTTAACACATCTTAATAGATGGACAGAGAGGAAAAGTGACTTTGAAAGTCTCACTCACACATTAAACAGATTAAAACAAAATATAATATCAGGTCTGGAGTTTTGAATTGCTGGTGTCCCTCCATTTTAATGTATTGGCATATGCCAGTAAATTTAGGCTCTTAAAATCGGTAAAGTCATAAGTTATCGTGACAGTTCATCATCCAGGTAAGACTAAAGGCCCAATATATACACATGCATAATATATATCAACAATTAAGGATCCCACTCTGACAACGAAATAGAAGATGTGATACATTATAAATAAGGATTAGCAGATGCCAACGCCAGCATGTTATACAAGTAAAATTTAACAATTATAAACCTCCTATTGTAAGAGAATAGTAAGTCACATTTTTTTTGTTACAAACTAATAACCACACCGCAAAACATTAAATTACAAAGACATTTTTATTTACAATAATACACAATGTTTCAATGACTACTTTATACAGATATTAACAATGCTGCGAATGTTAGAACCTTACTTCTACAGATAAGGGAACACAGAACTCTACTTTGCAGCTGAGGAAAAAATAAATAAAAAATTGATAGATACTTTGTTGATCCCGTGAGGGAAATTGCAGAAATACTTCTCAGTACTAACTTTCTCTGTAAACCAGATGCTAAAAAAGGGAATCTATTTGCCTGTTCCAGATGATACATCGCTAACATAATGAGAAATTATTTTTAGCCTGGTGGATATCACAAATAAGAAATCGAAACTTCCACAAATATAACACTATCTTGTTTAAATCCTAATGTCAATGTTTTGAGGACTGAAATTACCTGGAAGCTCTGTATCTTAGTCTATAAAGGGTGATGCTCTCTCATGGAAGTACAGTAACTCCTTCTCCTCTCACTTCTGTTTCTTCAATTTTGTTTCTGTGTGGTCTTTTATCCTGTCTTCTCCTTTGATGCTGTGAGAAGGCTGACATTATTATTTAATTAATAAAGTAAGTATTCTTCAATTCCTTGTCCTGGATTTTTTGCTATTGTGACTGCCTCAAGGATAAAATATTTTTAAAATATTTGTAGGGTAAAATAGAATTCTCACATATTCCCAGATGTTTTACATTTAAAGTCCCCCCTTCTACTGAGTGGGTATGTAAAATTTAAACATTTGGATACTCCACAGATGTGACAATAAGTCACTGATTGCTTTCTAAAAAATGGTGATATAAAAATGTATATTGTTACTGATTATATTCAAATATAATGCAATATGTAAGTACAATGGTTAATAGTGTAATCTACATATTCAATAAACAAAGATATATAAACAGTATACATATTGTGCAGATTTATATAGAGGACATACACATTAACATGTTTAATATGTAATGTTAAATACATCATCTCTGTTCAGTACTAAGACATCCCTTGAAGGATAGAAATAAACCTTCTTGACTGATTTGACCTGATACCAAAGCAGCAATACCCATATTGTAATATGGCAACCAAAATACAATATTCTAAATGAGATTCTACCAACTTATTATGTAATAGTAACATAACCTAAATACCATGACATGCAAGTGTAGAATAGTTGTTAATAATCTTTATTCTTTACACTAAAAAACAATTTGTAAGTGCTTTACCTTCACAAGGAGGATGCTATAAACCACCATCACATTTTTTGAAGAGCACAAGTCACTTATTGCATTGATACAGTACAAATACAGGGTTTAAGAAAATGGAAGAAATATAGTGGGATAATAAAATAATTAGAATAAATAATGAAAACCCCAAATGTCAAGTGTAGATACAGTATGCCAAAACACATACTCGAGCAGTTGTTATAAGGCACCTGAGCTTTTTATTCTCCTGCACAGCTCTGTCCAAAGACCAAACTAGGACAGATATTATTAACAATAATAATACCTAGATGACATACAATGTTATGCACATACTGTATAACATAAAACACAATGCTATTTACAGAACAAGACATCACAGAGGCCTACGTTCTGACATCAAACTGCTAACCCAATAGTATTAACACTATATAATGCCTTACAGGTTCAAAAGAGAGATGAACCTACATTCTAAATAAAACATAATACCACCCAGAGCTGAGCTTCTCTTCCTGTAAACCTGGATGCCCTAAATTGAATTGGAATCTTCTTGTTCTGAAAATACATCACTAACCTGGAGAGCACGTCTTTAGCCTCAGGATTCTATAAATACAAAATTGGAGATTCCTAATATAACAGCACTCTTAAAGAAGGTCCAGATACTTAACTACAAGTTAAACTTTAAGATTGGTCAGAACAAGGTCCTCTCACCTGACACCTTTCTCTCATTCTGTTCCATACTTATTTTCCTCCTCTCTTCTCTCTGTCTCTCTTGTGTCTTCTTATCCTATCTTTTTCAGTGTTGAATGTGTATTCTTATTATGATTATCCAGAATAATTTCCCAGAAGGTCCCCTTTCTGATCATGATCTCTCAAACCACCTAAAGTTCAGTAAACACCATGGCTCCTGTCCGTTGCTTTTAAGCTCTAAGAACTGCAAGTGTTAACTTTTATGACTGCTGTAACAATATGATGAGATCAGCAAAGTATGTAGTAAAATTGAGATTATACTGTATTACTGGCTGATTTAAACTTTCAGCACATAAATTGGGATATTGTGATAGGAAAGCAAGTTACTGAACCTGATATGGCTGAGATGTTTAGTGGCCGCTTTTAACATGGTTTGTAAAGGTTATAATTAGGGAAGAAGCTTTTATTGAGCTAATCTTTTCAAGCATTTAATTAAAATGAGCAGATATCATGGAACTTCCTGGGAATTGTAATCACCATATATCATATATGGTATATTTATATCTGCACTGTAAAAACTCAGTCTAAAATTAGAATTTTGAATTCTAGGAACTCAGAGTGTTAAGCAGATCATACAAGTAGTGAATTGGGTACAGATGTATACAGAATCACTAGAAGGGGGGACTTGAAAAACAACATTAAAGGCTCAAAACATATTAAACTGTATCAAGAAAATAGACAGGAGGAAGGATGCAGAGGAGAAAGAGCACAATGAGCTATATGCTCACCTGAAAAAAAAAACAGTATTACAATGCTAAAAGAACTGTAAAGGGGAAATATATATATATATGATTTATATCAAAATTGATTTCAAACTTTTGTCTAATAATTGAAGTTAATAATAGAAAATGATATACTGTAGTAAGCATGCTGAAGGAATATTTCACTGTTTTGTGCAACAGAATGTGCCAATAATGTGCCCAGTGTTATAGCTCAAGCTCCAGCACTATTGCATAATTGTAGCACAAAACTAGTTGAGACATAGATTTTAAGAATTTTTCAAACAAGAAACAAACACAGCAGATAACACTAGAGAATGATATATTTAGATTGGTACACTGTATTGGTATGTATTTTAAGCTTGTTCTGATCTATATTATTTAAATCTGACATAGTTAGCTAACTATTTGAATTTGCTGATGTTAAAAAAATAAGAGTGTGAGAAACACAGAAACAGTAAATTAGAATGGAGTTACAAAAAGAACCAGATAAAACCACCTGACATTAGACAAATTAAAGTAACAGTAGTAAGAACATACAGATAACATAAGGGTGATTCTAAGAAGGAGGAATCCACACAAGAAAGAGATCTGGATGTGTATGTAGATGTTTTATGTCCTCATCAAGTCATAGTGTGAGGAAAGCAATAAAAAAGTCTAAAATAACTCAGACTTATAGGAAAAAAAGTGTGGTATTTAAATCCAGGGAAGTTATGCTCAAGTTTTAAAACCCACCAGTAAGACAGCATTAAGCATATAATGTTGAGTTTTGTTCACCATCTTACAAAAAGAATATTATAGCCTTAATGTTGAAACAAGAGTGAGAGCTCAAGGGAACTAAATTTCTTCAGTCTATGACACAGGAGGTTCAACCTAACGGGTATGGATAAGGACTTAGGTCAGATTTGAAAAATAAATGTGTTTAGAACAGATAATAGGGAACAATTTTTTATATAAAGAGTCAGGTTATTTGGAACAGACTTCTTAGCCACCCAGCCAGGTGGTTGAAGCCCAAACTCTGGTCTCTTTTAATAAAAGTCTGGAAAGTTTAGCATTTGAATACTTGCCTCTTGTCTGCAACCTGACGTGCATTTTTTCTGAAATCAACATTTTATTAGGCTTTTGTATTGCTTTACCAAATTGTTTAAACAAGGACATTGAGGATTCAGCATAAGAAACATAATCCTTTCCACGAATTTCAAGCTTTTCACTTTTTCAGGCTCAGCGCTATTTTGTATTTAAAATATATATATATTCCTGCTGCCTCCAACTAATTAATTGCACTTGCCTACATTAGCTTTCATCTATGAAGTGCCGGCCCTAAGTCGGATGGTGTCTAAGTATTTTTGTAGTGCTTTTACTGCTTTCAAAGTGCCTTCTGCTCCCTTGCTTTTCTGTTGCCTGCAGATTTGACAGGTTTGCTGAATATTTCAGAATATAAATAAGTAGATACACTAGGCCTTGAACAGATCACTCCACTAATTGCCTCAGCCCAGCTAGAATGTAGTCCTGCTGGATATCTACTCACTGTGTTCAATCCAGATTCAGAGGACCTATGGTACAGTCACTGAAATTGTCTTTTAAGAAGTTGAGAAGTAGGCAAACACTTTATACTGTAAATTATGGCTTACAACGTAGATACAGTAAAAACAACAACCGTCTTTTAAAAATCTGACCTATATATACTGAAAATATGTGCTTTGTTTTCTTAGTGATATATACTTTAGCTTCATGTTAACATTTGCAGAATGAACAAAAAATGAGGTTGTAGTAGAGAACTGTGTCTGTGTCAGTGTGGCAGCAAAGGAACAATAAAGATTATTTCCATGCTGTGAAAAGTAGAAAGGAGAAAGACAATTAATTAACTTGTATTTTTTCCAAAACAACTGAGAGATTTTAACTACACATTTCTATAGACTGGATGCTATTTAATTGTAAGTAAGTGAAAATTAACCTTTAATTAACAAATCACAGGGGTTTAATAAGTGAAAACATAAAAAGCTAAGACATTTTGTTACAGTAATGCTCCAAACTAGGCAAGTAAAAAATATCACTCACATTCTTATTACTATTGTTATTGTTATTACTATTTGTTTCTTAATGATTCAATGTCAGCTTTAAACACCTGACCCATTTCTGGTGAAAAAATTGAAAAATTGTGCAGTATTCCAGCAGGAGTAATAATTACAGTAGAGTTACTTTAATGGGTACTCCATCAGTATGTGCCCATGATCCAGCTCTCTGTCAACGCATGTGTGTTACCTGTTTTCTTAGCTTTTAATTTGAGAATTAACTTTTTATGGGCAACCTTATTAATGATTTTCTGCAAATATAAATATATCATAACATAAGCTTTTACTGCTGTTACATTGTAACACTTGTAACCATTGCTGCTGTAGGTTGTTTCATTATAATGATAAACCAGACTGAGTATTTTCAATATGAAATTGATGTAAAACTGATTAGCCTGTAGCTTCCTGATATGCTTTTGCACCTTTTCTTATGAATGGATACACTGCAATTTGCCCAAGAGTGTGAAAGTTACATGTTTACCATCTTTCATTTTTAAATGTCAGCAAGTCCATTTGATTATTTTATTCTGAAAGCATCTTGTTCTTTAACATTTCTGCTTCTTTTATGGTAAGACTATTTTAAGTTGGGAAGGGACCTTCCTCTTCCTCAGCCTATGGCCTGCTATCTTTGTGTCACGTTTCCGTACCTTTTCCCGTAAGCGTCCTGCCATTCCCACATATGCTAAACTCTACACACGCTCATCCAGGACCTAATTATCCAACCATGTCTCTCTCTCTTCAATGTTTAAATACTCTTCACCGGCTTACCTACGCTCACTATTGAGAAGTCATCCACAGCTTTCTCTTGTGCACGCGCACTACTAT